ATATCCCAAAATGTAGAGAATATATTATAATATATAAATATTTTCTTCGTATAACACACAACTTCCCAGTGGATGCCATGGCATAACTTCATGTATTAAAACCTGTCTGCTCTTTCCTTCTCATTTCACTTTTTTTTTAAATTAAGTCAAGTAAGAGGAAGAGCAGACTGGTATCGTTACAATGAGTAATGTCAATGCATTAACAAAAGGAAGTTGGAAGTCGTGTTTTACTTGTATATAGATCTAGCTGGTGGTTGTTGTTTTTTAACAAGTTCGATGCATTTCAGAAATCATACGGCTGAATCGGACATGAAATATGTATGAGAAGATGGGATTGCTGCGAAATATAAAAAAGGCGGGAGCCAAATCAAAGCAAAAGATGCGGAACAAAGGAAAAGGCGCAAAAAGACAGCTTTTTAGTTGCTCTCTTTTCTTTTGGTCACATTTTTGGACTTGGCAGAGGTGGCGGTGGGGATTGTATCCTGGGTGTCATTAGAACGCAGGAAAAGAGATTTATTATTTCTTAAAATGTATTAGTTCGAAGGCCGAGCAGTTATGCATCCAGTGCAGCATCGTCTGTTAAAATAAGAATGGAAAGAGCAACACTGTGAGAAGAAACGAGTACATGGAAAAAGGGGGAAATTGGAGGAAGAATGTGAAAATGTAAGAAAAAAAATAATTTAAAGAACAAGTAATAAGGCAGGCAGGCTGACCAGCAGAGAAAAGTTTGGTTTATATAACAATGTGTCGCTCTTTTTGCTGATGTAGTTATCGTGGCTGTTTTAGATGAGGATGTTCTTTTCTTTTTCTCCTTTGTCTGTTGAAAGCGGGAGGGGGGGGGTCTTTGCGGGTAGAGGATTGCTGCTAAGGCTGCCTTCTTTATTACTGATTAATGCTGCTCCCGCCGCTACTGCCGTTGTTGTTGTTGTTGTTAAGGGAAAATGGGGGGGGGCCTGGAAATGGAGTAGATCAATACGTGTCTATAACAGCCTGACGTTATAAAATATTGTTCGGTCAAGACGTGTCTGATTAGACATCGATCAGAAAATTGAGTTTGGGAGAGAGTGAAGGAATAAAAAGATAAACAAACACAGGGACAAATACATCAAAAGTAGAACTGGGAAAGGCAAAAGCCCAACAAACAAGTACAAACACTCTTGAAGCAAAACTACAGAACGCTCTAGGACAATGTGCACTTGGCCAGTCATGTTCAAAAACATGAGGATTAGATCAGAATAGATATTGAGGATCTTTTTGTACGAATACGTTGAATCAAAAGTAAATAAAGAAAAGTAACACCTTTCAAGAGGTTAAAAGGCTTGTTACATTACGTTCCCAGGGGTACTGTGCATTCCTAAAGTCAAATGCATACTAGAAGCAAGTTCATGTATATATAATTGACATCTTATTCAAACGTTTGAAGATTGTCTTTCTAGTCATGGCTCTTAATCATCCCTTCCAAACATAATCGTGGAGTAAAGAGAGAAGAAAGAGCTTAATCGTAACGTTGGGCTTCATTTACTATGGAAGAACACTGCAGCTTCAGTGAGCGCACCTCACAATAAAAAACCATATACACATGTATATATACATAATTATAATGCCATTGTCGTTGCATGCCCCCACCACATTGAGACAAGTGGCCTACAACTAGAGTAATAAATAATTTTATTACCTGTCCATCAGAAAGCAAAAAGTGGGGATTTTTCTCACCAAAGTTTGATGGGCTCTTGTCTGATAGTTTGTTTTTTTTTGTTTTTTTTTTTCTGTGTGTGTCCGTCTATGTGTGAAAGACAGAGAGAGAGAAAGAGAGAGAGAGAGAGAGAGAGAGAGAGAGAGAGAGAGAGAGAGAGACAGAGACAGAGAGAGAGAGAAGAGAAAGAAAGAGACTGTGTACGCATAAGTGTATGAGCGTGTGTGTTTTAGTGAATATAAGTAGAAGACCAAGGCGACGAT